TTACAGTAAGATAATTTAACTTGCCAATCATTCTCCTGTACCTTTCAGGATTCTCAAATAGTTTGCTCTTTTGAGCTCAAGCATCCGTTTCTCATCATCAAGAGAGTCATCAGGCGGTATGCTCCCATCAGCGTCAAGGAGTGGGTTGTGAACCATAGGGAAATTAGTCGGTGCTGCTCCCAACTTTCCAGTTTCCTTTATTAGGTCAAGGACATATTTGCGCTATGTCAGTAATATGCCCTTCTTGCTTCTCATAACTTCAATGCCTAGAAAGTATGTCAGAGAGCCCAGATCCTTCGTCTGAAAGTGGGAATTAAGAAAGGACTTGAGGGACGAGATGCCCGAACCATTACTGCCTGTGATCACAATGTCATCTACATATACCACCAAGAGAATCATGCCAGCCGCTGTTCTCTGATAAAATACAGAATGATCGCACTTGCTTTGGCTCATGCCAAATTTCTGTACAATAGTACTGAACCGGTCAAACCATGCACGAGGACTTTGCTTCAAACCATACAAGGACCTCTTAAGGCGACATACTTTCCCACGCTCCCCCTGAGCAACAAACCCAAGTGGTTGCTCCATATAGACCTCTTCATGGAGATCACCATGCAAGAAGGCATTTTTAATGTCTAACTGATGTAGATCCCAATCATAAGTAGCAGCCAGAGAGATGAACAGACAAACAGATGAGAGCTTAGCAACAGGAGAAAAGGTTTCAGAATAGTCAATGCCATAGGTCTGTGCATAACCTTTAGCCACAAGGCGAGCCTTAAGGCGATCAAGTGTGCCGTCAACTTTAGTTTTCGGAGTTAACAACCATTTACATCCAATGGCCTTTTTGCCCGCCGGTAAATCGACCAGGGTCCATGTACCAGCCTGATCAAGGGCCACCATCTTCTCTTCCATTGCAGCACGCCAACCCGAGTGGGCCAAGGCTTCACAAATAGTTCTGGGCACAGAGATAGTATCTAGGGAGGCAACAAAGGAACTAGACACAGGAGACAAGTATGTTTACCTTTGCGAAGGGCAATGGGTAGATCAAGAGAGGCATCCAGGTCTGGAACAGGAGGCGTCTCAGGATTAGGGTCAGAACGAGGTTCAGTGTTGCTCAACTCAGGATCTGATGGCGAAGCGGACAAGGGAGGAATAGAAGCTGGCGTGGCGGTAGTAATCTCCTTTGACCGTCGTGTATACACACGATCAAATGGTTGAACTGGTGCAGGAGCGGGTGCTTGCGACGACGGTAGTGGTGAAGTGACACAGTACATTATAATGTCATCCTCCTCCGCAAGTGGAGCAGGTAGGGAAGAACACGAGAAATATGGTGTGGACTCCTAAAAGGTGACATCTGCAGATACTAAATAACGATTGAGAGTAGGTGAGAAACGATAAACTTTTTGGACCCGAGAGTATCCAAGGAAGACACATTTAAGAGACTTGGAGTCTAACTTTGAAATAGATGGACGTACATCCCACACAAAACAGACACACCCAAATATCTTAGGAGCAATAAGGAACAAAGGCTTAGAAGGAAAGAGGGTAGAAAAAGGAGAGTTACCATCAAGAACAGAATAAGGCATTCGATTAATAAGAAAGCATGCAGTGGAGACCGCGTCAGCCCAAAATGGTTTAGGAACTTGCATTTGAAACAAAAGTACATGTGCTACTTCAAGTAGGTGGCGATTTCTTCTTTCTACAACACCATTTTGAACTAGTGTATCAATACAAGACGACTGATGAAGTGTACCATTTTGAAGCATGTAAGATTCGAACGAAGCAGAGAGATATTCTTTAGCATTATCACTTCGTAAGGTGCGAATAGAAACATTAAACTGAGTTTTAATCTCAGCACAAAAGGCACAAAAATGGGAAAACAGTTCAGAACGATGTTTCATTAAATATAACCAAGTTGTTCGGGAATAATCATCAACAAATGTTACAAAGTATTTAAATCCTGTTTTGGACTCTATAGGACAAGGACCCCAAACATCAGCATGAACTAACTCAAAAGGGGATGAAACCCGTTTATTAACACGAGACACTAAGGGAAGACGATGATGCTTGGCAAGCTGACATGACTCACAATCTAAAGACGACAACTGCTGAAATTGAGGATAAACTCTCTTAAGAGAAGATAAAGACAAATGACCCAATCAACAATGAACTTCAAAGGGAGAATGACTGCTAGTGCAAGCCACCGTATGAGACCCCCGATCATCCAGTATATAGTGCCCGCCAGATTCATAACCTCTACCAATAATCCGCCTCGTCAAATGATCCTGTATCAAGCAATGAGAAGGAAAAGGTGAGACCCAACAGTTTAGTTGACGGGTGAGTTTACTAGGAGATAGGAGATTAAAAGCAAGTTTAGGGACATTTAGCAGAGATGACAAACGAATAGAGGGTGTGGGATTAACAGTGCCAGAACCGAGAACTTGAGACTGGGAACCATCAGCGATGGAAACACTTGACGGATTAGCAAAAGCATTATAAGAGGAGAAGAGATGGCGGTTACCTGTCATATGATCAGTAGCCCCGGAATCTATGATCCACCTTGAGGAAGAAGAAGCAAGGGCAGTAGCATTATCACTTGTTATCGCCGCGGCACTCACAGACGGCGTAGCAGATTTTAACTGGGCATACTCAGCAGCAGAAATCGTGACTGTGTCACTAGCGTGGGTAGCCATGTGGGCAGAGTTATTTCGTTGCTGTTTATTCTGAAGTTTTCGACATGTGCGTTTTGCATGCCCCGGTTCTTTGCAGTAATAACACACTACCTCACTGGAGTCAGAAGAGGCTCCCCCTTGCTTCGAACTACCACGGGTAGGCCCCCCGCGGTTATCACTGGGACTACAAGTTTCATAGGTGCCCTTACTGAGCAAGGCACTTGTAGCACTACTAGCAGCTAGTGGCAAGAGATTCTCAGCTCTCATTACTCTAGAAAACACATCTTGAAGGTCAGAAATCTCAGATCCGGATAAGATTTGAGAGCAAACTGTGTCGTACTCAGGTGGGAGACCAGTAAGAAAGCTCATAATAGCCATTTGCTCCCGTTGCTTATGTTGAACCTTCAAATTAGCAGTAAGAGGCATTAACACATTCAGCTCTTCATACATCCTCTTAAAGTCCATAAAGTAGGCTTTGAGAGGGCGATCCTGTTTTTCAGAACGATAGAAAGCTTTGCAGACCTCATAAAACGAGAGATATTTTCTTTTCCTGAATACAAAAAATCTAAATAATCCATTAGTTCCTTAACCAATTCACAATGATTAATAGAAGGAATAATCTCACTGTCAATGGAATTACGGATCTGGAAAAGTAGCCATGCATCATCCCACAACCAGGCCTTTTTTGAATCGGTTATTAGAGGATCATCGGTCAGATGGTCTTCCTTCTCAATGCTCTGCAGATAGAGGCGAATGGTTTTACTCCAATCCAAATAATTTACCCAAGTCAACTTGTGATCAGTAATTTTAGTAACAGTTGAAACAAGCTCCGAGGCAGATTTAAATTCAGCCATAGATGAAGTGCACTAACCAAAAGGAATATGAAAGAGTGTCACACAGGGACACAAAGCACGATACCTGGATCACCTAATGAATACCAAAGCAGTGAAAAGGCCAACAGCTACACAGGGAGCTGCAAACAGAACCGAATTGCACAAACAGAGTGCCAAAGACGTGCCAGAAACGGAACAGAACACCAGAAAGCTAATGAACAGTACGGACATCGGAGTGAACAGTGCAGAACGCCTGAAAATCGATGAACAATGCACCACGCCGTACCCACACCAAGGAAGTACCACAATATCGCCGGAAATCAGGTGTCGCCGTCGATCGTCGAAGTCGCTGGTGAAAAGGGTGTCTCGCGCCGTCACACACCGGCGCGTGAAATTCCGGCGGACTTGCAGGAGGCGCGTGAGAGTCACGTGCTGGTCGGATGGCCGTCGAACTTCGATGGTTGGCCAGTCCAGAGGAGGGAAGAAGCTTGGGCAGGGCAGTGACACCAAAGGAAGCGTCGGGAAGGGGGTCATAAGCTCACACGGTAATTTTGGTATTGTATCAACCGAAAATTACCACCCAGAAAAAAACCCTCACGCTCTGATACCATGTAGATTATAGAATAATATGGAAAATAATTCTGTTGTATTTCATTGCTCAGAATATGCACATATATATACAAGTGGGAGGAGCCTTTGCATTAATGGCTCATTATGATAATATCATATCATATCAAATCCTAATCATAATTACATAATATTTACATAATATCATATCATATCTCTACAATCTTAAACAATGCATTTACACTCCAACACAAAAGAAATATAACACTAAAATCAACATCAAACTCAAGCCAAATTATTCAGTCTCCATGAAATCTTCTTTCACTTTTCCCTCCATATGACAAACGATTAGAAAGCAACATCGGTTCACAACCAGCAAAACAACCCTTCAGGACATATGCGTTCAAACAAAATTCAAGCATATTTCCACGTATTACAAAGAGTGTGACATGGTCAACCTTCAATTTAAGGCTGTTTTAGAAAGATACCTTAATCTTCAATCTTGTGTGTTATCCAGATATTACTTTCTACAAAAGTTAGAAAATAAAAATATAGAAAAAAGGATGCTGATATAATTTCCAATGTTAGAAGATTTAAGTAGAAGACAGTTGACTATGAAAATTTCCGACAAATAGTACCAACCACTACTGACTACTAGGAATACAAAGCCCTTGAGGCACTTAACATCAAAATTTCTGATTAAACAATGTGGAGTTTACCATGGAATGATGCACAAAATAGTCTATCTAACCACAGGATCACAAAGTTAAGCAAAGTATAAAACTCATAAAAGGCACATACATATATACAACAACAAGTGCAAAGACCAAAGACAAAACATGAATAAATCAAGAAAGTAGAGCATACAACATAGCAGAACCAGGCAGCACAAGAACAGAAATCTACCAAGATATTCTCTAAGATGTACCTCCATCTCCACGCGGGCCAAACTGTAAACAACCAGACTCATTCTCGGCAGCACCAAAAGATCCTGCATTTGAAGCACACAATAGTGTCCATCTTTGGCTCAAAGTAATTTGGAAGCATAAGAGGTATGAAATCCTACACTTCAGATGATCTCATTCTAGTTATAAAAGACTTAATTGCCTCAAAAGCTTAATGATGGAATACACACCATCATCGAGAAACAAAAATATCAAGTTGTCTCAATATTCAGGTATCATAATGATGATGGGGCTGATAGTAATATTTTAAATATCCTGAGTCCTAAAACTATTTTTTAAAGGAAAAAAAAAAAAGCTATTGTGTAGTTGATCTTATATTTCAATACTACTGGTAATTTAATTTCCTAGTCTCTCACCAGCCATTAATCCATTGTTTGGCAATGTGTTAACTTTGAAATAACCTCTTTGGTATTTTGGCAAAAGCTAGATTTTACTTGGTGTTTTGAAAAAGTTTCTCCCAATTTGAATTAAGAGCTTCAGCAATAAGTCAGGAAACAAAATAATGTGCGAATTTGAAGTTTATCTTCAAAGGAATGCCCATAGGCATATCGTCACCTTTAATTGGGATATGGGTTCTCTTTAGTTTTTTGCCCATAGGCTTTTAAGGAAATCCCTGTTTCCTATACAAACAGACTAAAAAGTCTTTTACGCTACTAAGTTTGTGAATAGCATGATGCCAAAATGTTATATTTTATTCAACTAGTAGGATGCAATATTTATAGATAGCATAGGAAAATTCTAGGATCACTAGAGATTACATAATCAGGGTAAATTAGAATTAAATGGGATGAATTCAAAAAAGATTAAAAGAAATCAAATCTGCCATAATCCTGGCGATTTGGCATTAGATATATGTCATTCGCAGCTTGCTTCTAAGATCTTCAAACTGTGGTCTTGCTAGAGCTTTAGTTAAAAAAATCCCCTACTTAACAATTTGAAGGAACATGTGTTATTTCTATAATTCCTGCATCCTCTTTTTCCTTAATGAAGTGTTTATCAATATCAACATGCTTGGTGCATTCATGATGGATGGGATTTCTAACCATAGCAATCGCAAACATACTGTCACATCTTAGTCTGACTGATGTATTTGGTGCAAATCTTAATTCCCTTAGCACTATTATTATCCATAATCCTTCACAAACCCCATGAGCTAAAGCTCAGAGTTCTGCTTCTGCACTACTTCGGGATACTACAATTTGCTTCTTGCTTCTCCATGTAACAAGATTTCCCCATACCATTGTGTAGTAGCCTGAAGTAGATCTCCTATCACGTAGGAAACCCCCATGATTTGCATCAGTATACACCACAATTTCTCTTGACTTTCCTTTTACAAAGTAGAGTCCCCGGCCTAGTGTCATTTTCAGGTAATGTAGAATCCTATAGACTGCATTCATGTGTTCTTCAAGTGGCTCATTTGTGGATCTACTCACTACCCCAACTGCATAGCTTATATCAGGGCGTGTGTGAGAAAGGTATAGAAGTTTACCAACAAGCTTCTTGTACCTTTCCTTATCAACTGGTATTGTTTCCTTCTTTGGCTTTGTTTTCTTCTTACAATCCTTACAGACTGTTCCCTCTTCTTCTTCCTCTTTGTCATTAAGTTTATAGGCTGGTTCTATAGGTATTTCTGCTGGCTTTGCTCCCAGCATTCCTGTCTCTTTTAACAGGTCAAGTGTATACTTTCTTTGTGACACGAAGATTCCTTCTCAGGATCTTGCTACCTCCATCCCCAAGAAGTACCTAAGTCCTCCTAGGTCCTTTACTTCAAATTCCTTTTCTAAGGACCTCTTAAGTTTGGTTATTTCATCAATGTTATCTCCAGTCAATATGATATGACCAACATAAACAATAAGGATAGCCACTTTACCTCCTGAGTGTTTAACAAACAATGTGTGATCTGCTTGGCATTGAATGAATCCCACACGTTTCACTGCTCTTGTGAATCTCTCAAACCATGCTTGGGGTGACTATTTTAGGCCATAAAGTGATTTGTAGATCTTACATGCTACTCCAGGAGTATTACACTCTGTCAAACCTTGAGGCACATCCATATATACCTCCTCTTATAGATCTCCATTTAGAAAAGCATTCTTTACATCAAGTTGATGCAACGGCCAATCTAAGTTTGCTGCTAGTAATAGGAGTATTCGGATTGTGTTCAACTTTGCCACAGGAGCAAATGTCTTCTGATAGTCAATGCCGTAGGTTTGAGAGTATTCTTTTCCCATTAACCTCGCTTTGTACTTGTTTTTGCCATCAGGATTGTATTTCTTTGTAAACACCCATTTACACCCAACTATTTTCTTTCTTGTTGGTAGTTTTGTGATTTTCCAAGTCTACTTCTTTCTTAGGGCACTTAGCCCCTCTTCAATAGCGCTTCTCCAGTTTGAATCAGATATGGCTTCATGAAATGTAGTAGGAATATGTTCATCTGCCAAACAAGTTACAAAACCATGCATAGAGGGTGATAGATGTTCATGTGTCACAAAATTGCTTATAGGATGTCTAGCGCAGGATCTTGCCCCCTTTCTCAATGCAATAGCCATGCAAGATCATCAGGACTAGTAGTTGAGGTTGATTCTTTGTACTGCTCAGTTCTAGAGGATACTTCATTGTTGTTTTGATTAGTTCCAGCACTTGTCTCCACTTGTTCTGGGATGTTCTGATCTGTTTCTCCATTTCCAGATTCTGAATCTCCCCTGTCTAGCTCCTCATTGGCTTAGCTTTCATTGTTTAGACTTGTTTCCAGTATGTCTAGATCTGGGTTGGTTTGTTTGGCTCTGTCTGAGGGTGATCAATCAAGATAGGCTCAATTTGAGGTGGCGTGATAAGAGGTGTGGGTTGGAAAAACTCCCATTCTCTCACACTCTCCCCCTGAATGGGTGTTTTGGGGGTATAAGCTTAAGTTTCATCAAAGGTGACATACATTGTAACAAAATTTTTTTTGAGTTCGAGAGTAACATTTGTAGCCTTTATGGGTGGAGGAATGGTCAAGGAAAATGCATTTGATAGCCCGAGGGTCAAGTTTGCTACCATGGTCATTGTGGACATAAGCTATACAACCAAACACTCTTTCAGGAATATAGGTAAGAATGTGTGAGTTGGGATAGGTTTCGGGTAGGGTTTGAATTGGTGTGCGAAAGTTTAGAGTATTTAAGGGAAGGCGATTTATCAAGTGTGTAGCAATAAGAACGGCTTCTCCCCAATAAAATTTTGGTACATTGTTGGTCATCATTATTACTCAAGGAAGTTCTAGGAGATGACAATTCTTTCTTTCAACTATTCCATTTTGCTGTGGTGTATACAGCTTGTTTGGTGTACAACACCATGCTGTTTTAGGTAAGTTTGGAGGTGAGTATTCATGCATTCCCTCCCATTGTCACTCATAAGAACTTGTATGGAAGTAGGGGTGAGCAAAACCGAACCGTAACCGAAAACCGAACAGAACTGAATTTAATTTCAATTTTTCGGTTATATATTCGGTTTTTATTTTTAAAACAATTCGGTTTCGGCGTTTGGTTCGGTTAGTAGAAAAAAATTTCGGTTATAACCGAATAACCGAAATAAATATATTATATATTTATATTTAATAAATATTATTATAATAAATATATATGTGCGTATATGTGAACTTTTTAAATATATTTATATTCAATAAATATGGTTATAATGAATATTATTATAATAAATCACATTGAATGATGAAATATTTATTAATTAATAGTTGTAATTGTGTTTTATTATTATTTTTAATTTAATATCATTTTCCATATTTATATATTTCGGTTAATCGGTTAACCGAACCGAAATTTTCGGTTAATTCGGTTAATCGGTTCGATGTTTAAAATTTACTCTATTTGGTTAATTCGGTTATTACCGATAACCAAACCGAAAAACTGAATACTCACCCCTATATGGAAGTATCAAACTAGGTTTTGATCATTTTGTGGAAGTTTATGATAACTTGAGTAAGGTCAGATTTTTCTTTCATGAGAAATACCCATGTAACCCGTGTGTGACCATCAATTAGTGTTACAAACCATTTGGCATTTGTTAATGTGAGAATGCGAACATGGCCCCACATGTCACTATGCACAGGAGAAAAAAGATGAGTATACTGGTGAGGATGTGCTTTGTAATTGTTCTTGGTGTGTTTAGAGAGTTGGCACACCTCACGAGGAATAGAACAAATATTTTTATTGATTGAATTTGGGAACAATCTGAACATATATTTAAAGCTGGGATGGCCTAACCTATAGTGCCATAACAAAGCTTCATTATTCAAAAATTGAGTCACTGATCTTTTTTCTGCTACATATGTTCTAGAATATGCCTTATTTTGCTTCCTTGAGTGATGGTCTACGCAATAAAGTCCCTCTAGTAACCTAGCTGTGCCAATCCTCTTTCCCAACTCCAAGTCCTGAAATAAACATGAAGAGGCAGAAAAGTTGATGTCACAGCCTTGTGAAACAATGGCTTTACTAAGAGAGATTAAATTGCATTTCAAATCTGGTGCATATAGCACATTTTTTAGTATAACATCCCCAAACAAGCAAACTTCACCAATCCTATGAACCTTAATAAATTTCCCATCAACCTTTATGAGAGATTCACATGGTTTAACATTTTGGAGGAGATCGATATTACCAGACATATGGTCAATAGCTCCAAAGCCTACAATCCACATTTGATCATTGTGAACATTTACTTTTAAGGCAAGGACAGTATTACCTGTGTAGGCTACATTACCTGTAGCAACTAATTACTCCTTAGTATTATGCTTTTCTAACAATTTTTTGAGAAATTCCAGTTCTTCCTTGGTTAGTTTGTCCCCCAATTCATCTTTGGAATCCACGTTTGTTGCATGAGCTCGTGGCTCAGGTTTGCCTTTCCCTTTTGGTTTAGGTGGCTTTCCATGCAATTTCCAACAGACCTCCTGGGTATGTCCAGGTCTTTGACAATGATCACACCACTTTCTGTTCTTTCTTCCTTTGGTCAAAAAGGCACTTGATTCAGATCCAATGCCTGCTGGTTGTTTCGGATTATTGAGCCTCTTCCTACTCCCTTGTTTGGCCATGAAAAACACCTCTCGTAGGCTTGGCAGCTTCTCTTGGCTTATGATTCGCCCTCTTATTTCATCATGAGAAGATGGGAGTTTGAGGAGGAATTTTTAAATTCGCTTCTCCTCCTTGATCTTGGCATATAGTTTTGCATCTAACGTGCATGACCATTCGTATGTATCATACTGATCTAGTTGCTGCCAAAGAGTCATCAAGTTAGTCCAATATTCTGTCATATTTAAATTACCTTTGGTGAGTCTGTCTAGGTTTGACTCAATTTCCAGAATTGCTGCATGGTTTGTTTAGAGAGGCGAACATATCACGTGCTCCTTCCTAGACTTCTCGAGCAGACTTGAACAAAGTTGAAGTTGGTGCTAATCTCCATGGTCATTGAGTTGATCAACCATGACTTAATCATCGAGCCCTCTACCTCCCAGGTACTATGCTTTGAGCCTATAAGCTTAGGCCTTGTTATAATCACATTCAAGTGCCCAAATTTTCCTCTTCCAGTCACAAAGAGTCGGACACTCGCTGCCCATTGGAGCTAATTTTGTCCGTTTAGGCGATGAATAGTAATCTGGGAGGGAGTGGCATCGTTTGGCGCCTAGTGGTTCGTCGGCACTGTTGATGTGTTGTGCGCCGATGGGGGTGAACCACCCTGGCCTTCATCATCCAGCCCGAAGCCGAACTTCATCTCTGCTCTGATACCATGAACAGCTTGATGCCAAAATGCTATGTTTTATTCGACTAGTAGGATACAATATTTATAGATAGCATAGGAAGATTCTAGGATCACTAGAGATTACATAATCAAGGTAAATCAGAATTAAATGGGATGAATTCAAAAAAAAAATTAAAAGAAATCAAATCTGCCATAATCTTGGGGATTTGGCGTTAGCTAATCTTAATCATTAAATGTAGGGGCCCATAACTTCATCAACATTTTGATAGAAATTTTGTTAATTTATTCATTTTTTGAGCTTTTTCTCGTATTGCAGGTTATAAGTAGCTTATCCTCCAACAAGATGTGCTCCTCTTTCTGATAAAAATTACTTCAGTCATCGCTTCAAAAAAATTCCTTTTTCTATATTCCATTTCACTATAAACTTTTAACTCGGTATAACTCAGTCCCTTATCTTTTTGAGTCATCTTATGTGGGGAAAAATATTAATAATACTGTTAAAAATTGTTCACATGCCCTTCAAATCAGCTCCATGTGGATTTTACATAAATTTTTTGAAAAATGTTGAAAGATGAAGGCCTAAGCCCGCTTAGTAGGGCCCAATTAATTAGATTTTAATCTAGTGCTTTATTAATTATTTTATGTATCATTTAAATTAGAATGAATTAGATTAGATAAGATTTCTTTTTACCCTGATTTAGATTTCAATTTCAATATATTAGGTTTTATCTTTGGGCTTTATCCTTTATTTTTACCATATGTATCAAGCAAATACATCAATGAAGCTTTGAAGCTAAGCCTCAATTACTCAACTGATTATTTCTTCCTATTTTCTTCAAAAAATAAGACAACCTAACAGCACCTTCATTTTCCATAACATCTTCCAAGAGGCCTTCAACTGTCCACCTCTGTTTTACACATTCTTGCTGGGCTTTCTCGGCATCCATGATAGGTCCTTCAGAATCACCAGCGACCAGCAAAGGACATCATCTCACCCTACATGTAAGTGCTCTCTCCATGATCTCTCTTTTCAGTGTCTCTAACTCTTCTCCTCCTCAAGGTCCTAGCAACACTTGAACATATTGAAGCCCCCAAGAATACTAGGCAAGCAGTGAGAAGAAGTGTACTCAAAACAAGAAGTTTGAAGAAGCTTTTGCTTTTGCCTTTGTATTTTGCCATCCTTGAACTGAATAGTATGCAGAACTTTGGATTTTAAGAGTAAGAATAGGAACAAAGGATCTGTCATGGATGCTGAGGCTGCCTAACAAGAATTTGAAAAACAGAAGTGGAAGGTTAAAGCCTTTGTCGAAGATGAAGGTGTTGTCAGGTTGTCTTATTTTCCAAAAAGTTTATGTAAAATCCATGTGGAGCTGATTTGGAGGGCATGTAAGCAATTTTTAACAGTATTATTAATATTTTTTTGTGACGTAAGATGATACCTCAAAAAGATTAGGGACTAAGTTACAAGTGAATCAAAAGTTCAAGGAATGAGTTATACTAAATCAAAATCCAAAGACTGAATTATAAGTGAGTCAACTTCAAGGACTAAAAGACTAGTTTTCCTTTTTATTAATTTATTTAATCCACTGATATAATAGTAAACATAAATTTAATATTTTTACCCATGTTCTGTCATACTCCACCTAACCTTTTTAAAGAAATCGCAGTATCCCTGGATTGTACCATTTTTTGGACACTACTAACACACCTATGTCCCTGCATCAAAACAGACTATCAAGAACCTTTAGTCCACAATTTTTCTACCTTTTTCTTCACCTTAGAATCCCCAATTTTGAAGCTACTAAACACTAATCGATTATTTTCTGAACCAATTAAGCTATTTGGAGAAGAACTAAGAATAAGTTTGATGTATAAATGTCACATGCACCCAAAAGCAAAAACCCATTAATCTTGAAGCATATACAGAGCAAAGATCCACCCAAATCATGGATTGAAAGTTTAACTAGAGTGTGAGAATATAGTTGCATAAACTAAACTTGTATTCTCCTGCTAAGAAAGACTCTAATATCACGCAAGGAACAAATAATCTTAAAAGCTTTAGCGGTTAGACTGATCTCAAAACTAGATATTATTCCGGTATAGGAGAGATGATAACTTAAAAGTTTGTCAAAGATTGTACTCATCTTTTTAATTTTTAAACCATATTAAAATATGTGGCGAGGTATTAAAGAATAAAAATAAAGCTGCACAGAACAATATGAAACATGTGCTGACAATTGAAAATATTTATTAAAAAAAAAAAAAAAAACTGTCGCATGGATGCCAAAGAAAAGTCACCAGCTGAGCAATAAAAAAGCATAATAACCTGAAGCTGACAAATATATTAAGAGAATGCCATCAGAAGGAAGTTCCTCACAAATTGTGGCTAGAACCTGACCATAAGAAGCAAAACAATCTTCAATTTTGATTACTTGAGAAACGAAGCAAAGAGGAGATAATCATGAACACACTGATATAAAGCAATCTTTATGTCAATTGCAAAGCAGAACAATTCATAACCATTACATGTGTCTTCTCATTGAAAACAAAAAAGAATCTGAGAGTTACAAAATTGGAGAATAAAGTCTTAAAACCAAGCACAATTTCATACTTACTGCCATATAGTTTGTCAGTGAAGGACGGTATAACACAGCTTTCCGTGGGTTAGCTGGTAATGTAGGATCAACAATATCCTGTGAAAAACCAATGCGACTGGACCCAGAAGCCCCATTCTGACTAAGTTTTGAATTAGACTGGTAGAAGGAGCCACTAGGTTCCCACTCCAAACATTGAAGCATTCGAAATGTGTCAATAGTGAGCTCTGAAAATTTAACCTGCTTAGAAATAAAATTTTAAAATAGATATAGAGAATCAAAGAAAACATTTACAAAACATCTTATGAGCCGTGAAAAAATGTTACTTCTTTAACTGTAACATTCTTCACAGATATTAATTTTTTTCCCCACAAATATTCTTCTTCATTATAAGGGGAAAAGGCAAGGAAATCCTAACATATCTTACCTCATTATGATGGAAGCTGCTCAATAGCGCATCTTGTAATTTTAGGTTTCTCTTTGTGATTGATGGAGCAACATGTGGTAAAGTATCTGGATGAGGGTCCAAAACAAGACTATATCTCAAAGGCCTGATATTCATAAAAGTTGTGTCAGCTTTCAAAAATCTGATTGCTTCTTGAACCACCAGCTTCCATTCTTTAAAGTCACTTTCCTGCCACCGAAAAAAAAAAAAAAAAGAATGTTTCAAGACCATTTCCAATAAATCTGCAAAAGCATGTCTAGTAGAACAGGTTCCATAAAGCGACAGGTCATTGTTCTAATTGATTGCCCCTTGGTTTTGCATTTTGGATGCCCTAGAGATGCATTAATATGTCACTTTTGGGCAGCTCTGAAACTTAAATTGGAAGGTTTATTAACAATGAATTAACCTAGTTAGATATAAGAGTAAATTATAAACATAAGAGAATGTGAAAGAAGCACTTCAGCAAAATCTGACATCTACAGAGGAAGCAACATAACAGGAAAACGTATAGGTAACATTATACAATGAATAGTACTTTTATTTACATGGTAATGAAATTGGGCATATTTGCCACAGCTTTTAGCATTTTGGTAAGCATATGTTAGCTATACGGTGTAAGACAGGTATGGACTCTGGCATAAGAATCCAGCTTTAGGCCATCATCTTCTACATTATTCTGTTGTGTTTAGCATAACTAGATGTCCTTTGACTCATCAAGTTAATAAATCACCTTACATATCCAAACAATCTACCTCCAAGATATAAATGCATCTTAGTAGAATATTACGTCAATTTAGATAGCAACACTTTAGATTCAAAGAGAAGAATGACAATCAACATATTTCAACAGGAACTTGTAAAAAAGGCACTGCATTTAACAGAACAGCAGATGCAAATTTCTGATATGGTACCAAATTTATCATCATATACGGTAATTACTTTTGTGATGAACGTCCTGCTGACAGCAGTGTAGTGATGTACAAATATATTTAAGATAAAGAAGCTGATCTTTTGTAAAAGATGACAATGACAAATCAAAGATGAGAAACATATATCAATGATCCATTGAGTTACACAGAAATGTATGACCACGTTAGACTTTTACAAACCTGGAACGCCCGCCTACATTCATCAGCTAACAATTTAATCTGATTAACCAACTGCTGCACCATTTCTCTCCGGTTTGAAACCAAACAAACCGTCAGGAACCTAGCTAGAAACCTCAACTGTTTGTTCGCTATATTCACATCCTGAAATAATCCCTCCTTAAAGTACTCCCGAGTCAATATGGCTTCATAGAATATATATGACTCAGATAGATAAGTCCCATCACTTGTTCGCATGTACTGCCCAAAATATAGTTGCCCAATGCGAGATGCAATTTCACCGATCTCCCATCTCTTAAGCCCAGATTCAACCAGCTTCTGTCGATTCTCCTGTTGAAACTTCCACAACTGTGTGTAAACCTTAAAGACCTTATAAAAGTACGTGTCATACCTAAAAACAAAGCCACTAAGAAATGTTAAGCCTCTCACAGATGACCACACATGAAGACTCGTACCCGGCGGCTCCCTATCTATTATCAAAGATATTTGCCTTTGATCATCAAGTTATAGGTAGGCATTGAACAGCGTTGATATTTCATCCCAATCAAATAACAATAACGGAATGACTATATATCGTTAACTTATGGTTTAGTTCTCAAATTTACGATGCCAAAACTTCTAATAACAGAACAAAAAAGAAAAGCTGGCAAGTTAAGCATGTTTTTTGAAAAAGCAAAAAAAAAAACAAAAAGAAAAAGAAAAACAACAACAACACAATCTTCTGGTAATCCAGAGAGAAACCACTGACAAAGGAATATACTTTTTAATATCCCAGAGTTTCGCAATACTAATTTTCAACTGATTCGTGTAACAAATTAGAAAATTAATTCAGTCCGATAATAAAAGTTCTCCAGTGATAAAGACAAATTAGAAATTTTGCCGAGTGTGAATTTTGCCCGGAAGTAAGCAAAAGAAAGGTCATACGAGAAAGAAGAATGGCAGCAAATTGACATTGAACAGAACCTGGTACGCTGGTAATAAGGTAAATCCCTGATCTTAGAGAACTTCTTGTCAGCTTTATCAACCAGAGTCCAGAACACTTCGCTTACTGGAATGTTGCTGCTAGTGGCAGTGCTTTGTTGATGTGACATCTTCGAGCTCCGGTGGCTACATAACGCGATTCATATTGCGAGAATCTTTCTTTGGTGAAGACGACAGAAGCGAAGCGAAGGAAAGAGAAAGCAGACGACAAGAACACCGGTGTCACGGCGGACCAAATCTCCGGAATGTTCGCCCGCAGCAAGTTGGGGTATTTTTGTTTCTACCGTTTGGGTCAAATAGAGGATTTGCTCGGCAATTACTTTCTTGACCAGTTTGTTCAGCAATTGGAGTACTCAGAATTGCCGATAATTAGTAATAACCCCGGTTAAGTAGCAATGTACGTTGCAAAATTTTTTAACAGAAATTTTAAATTAATCTTTATATTTTTACCCCATTAAATAAATAAATGTTTACTCATTATTTTATACAACCTTTTTATAAATAAAGGTATAATTTTTTCTACCAGCAGCAAACAAGGATATAATTGGAATATATATCTTATACATTTATTATTTTTAACTAAATTTAACTAACCATTTAAACGGCGTAATTTTAGTTATTGTTTCTTATGAAAAACAACAGAGGTGTTATATTTAAATTAATTGATCTCACTCAACTAATCAACTATCAACTAAGAAATTAATAAAGAAATACTACTATCATAAACAAATACTACTATTACTATCAGGGAAAATAACCAGAAAATACCTATTAAAATTCAAAAAGACAAAAGTCCTTGCAAATAAATGAAATCATCAAATAGGTTTGAGGTATGAATATCGGGTTTGCAATTTTTGGTGGAAAGATTAAAATGCTCCTGAAGTGAGGGGAAAAAAAAACATCTAAAGGTTTTCACAAAGTATTGGCACGTAGAGGAAAGAGAGAAAGCTTGGAGCAATGTCAAAAGCTAAAAAAAAAAAAAATCTAATTTTTGTTTCGAAATGCTATTATCTTACTCCTCCACCCATTAAAATGTTGCAGACATTGTTCATTTGGGTGTGTAAGTAAGTTTGTACTAGGAGAGAGATTAACGTGGGGCATTACAAAATTGAGTAGACGCTGATGGTGGGATTTAGGTTGTTTATTCTTTTAGCTTCTCTCTATGGTGAGATGGGAATGTGTTTGTTAGTAAAGAGGGTTTAGATTGAGAATTGGATGGGAATCAAAGAACAGTGTATGGAAAATCGAAAAATGATGGCAAGTGATTATGTGGCTATGAAGTTTGAGAGCAAACAATAAGCATAACGTCAATAGTCAAATTGTGAAACCTAATATTAAAGTTATCAATAAAGGATGTGTGTGTGTGTGTGTTTTGGGTATTTTGGAAGGTGATGAAAATTGACTGTTGGGAAATTAGAACTTTGATTTGTGCTTACCTTTTGCTACAGGTTAGCAAGCTTTGATGACATCTAACATTAAGTCAACATCTTCAAAGTGATTTATGTGTTATTTTTAAGTAGGTGGGAACTTTGTTGAAAATGTTAATGGTAAAGTTAAATACAATGATAGGACTGTCAGGATAAAAATGATAAAGGAGGGTCTAAGACTCGCTACTACAGATTTTCAAATATATGTCTTTAGCTAAGTGACTGTTAAAATGAAACATGATCACCTATCACTAGGCAAAGACCATGCTAAGCAAGGAACAAAAAACTGTACCGAACACTAAATTGGTTGAGATAGTGGCTTATAGGTCAATGGATCACACCGAGGTCAACTCGGAGTCAAATCGGTCATATTAAAATAATATAATTTAATTGAACATTGTCACACCTTACTATCGAATCCACTTAGGGTTTAATTAAAACTATTTTAGACCACCTTGGATGGCTTTGGGCTCAAAAATCCATGAAAACACTGATTTTCGGATTTTTACTGTTCAGCGGGTAAAAATCCAGTTTTCTAGCTCAACTTTGAAAATTCATAACTTAATCTAGAAAAATCAAAATAGAGTGGTTCAAAATTATATATAAATCTATTTGAATGCTCTTTCAATGAAAAATAATCTTATGAACCAATTCCATTTGAAAAAGTGTCAAGTTTTTGTGAAAGTCACCTCTGTCCATTTGGCAAAAATCATTTTTCTATATTCTAAATCTTAACTTTGAAAAATCATTAAAAATCGTGTAGTTGGCGATTTTTAATGTGCTGCCTATCGATTTGAAGCTCATGACGTGAATTTTAAGCATACCAAATTTCATATAGAAAATCATTCGGTAACTTAATAAAATATGGCTCTAATTTGGCATCCTGCTTAGGGATTATAGCTCCAACCATACATGCTTATACATAACCAAATATAAATGTTTCCTCATAGTTCATCACCATATTTATCCTTGGATTTGCAGCCTCCCTTTTGATGATTCAGTCTCTAAAATGTTAAGTTACATATGGGGGATGAGATTTCAATGAAATCCCAGTAGCAAGATCAATCAACCAGAACATCAACATGCATCAGTTACAAGCATTCCAACCTTTTGTTATTAATAGGAAACTACCTTACCTCATACATGTAGCACTCTAACATGCAATAGCCAAGGCACATAAAGCAAGGAGTATAACTACACAATCATCATCATCATCATTTAGTTCAACCACATAATAACACATGAAATTGCATAGCAATGAATGCAATAATCAACATTAAGGTCAATTAAATCTTACTACCTTAATTCAATGCTCTTTGATTTTCTTGTTCTTCTTTCTTGCTTCCATAAATGCCAAACCCTAACATGGCAATTAAGGGTAGAAACAGGCCAGGCGGCCTGTCAGGGGCTTACGACCTGGCCTGGCTTGTTTTCCAAAAGAAACAGGCTCAGGCCTGTTTGAAGGCCTATTTAAGTTAATAGGCCAGGTTTAGGCTCTCTAAAAAGGCCTGTTAAGCCTGTTAGACTGGCCTGAGCCTGTTAGAAATTTATAATTATAATATATAAAAAATATTAGTTAATGGTATTGTTAATGTGCACTTTTAATTTATTTTTAAATTTTAATATATTGTTAATAGCTTAGTTCTTCCTTAGATTTTGATGTTTAGTTGACAGGTAAAGATAAAAATATAATTTAAAATAAAAATATCAATAAATAATATGATCTTTAAATCTTAAAAATATAAATAAAATAGGAAAGAAAATTTTTGTTCCAAGAATGATAGATTAATTAACTTATGTATTATATTAATTAAATTATGATACTCTCTTTATTCATTGTAAAATTAATAGTTTTTTTCTTTATTTATTTGTCTTAATTTTTTTTGTACTTAAACATAGTTTTGTCTCAAATTTTAACAAACAATTAGAATTAGTTTTCAATAATATCCTTATAAATTGTAATTAAGATTTAAAACAGTACTTATGATACTAAAATTTAAATAAAAGACAAAACTAAAAAATTAATTATTATGTATACTTTTTTTATTTTAGCTTTTTTTAAAAAAAATTATTGTAATTTGAATTTTTTTTTTTAAAAAAAAAGCTTTTAAACAGGTTTCAGACCAGGTCAGGCCTTTATACAAGCCAAGCTCAGGCTAAAAGATAAGCCTGTAACAGGCCACAAGCCAGGCTTAGGTCTATAGGCTACAAAACAAGCCTGGCCTGTTAAGAGTAAAGCCTGGCCTGGCCTGGCCTGTTTCCACCCTTAATGACAATCCACAAAAAGGGCAGCAAGAATCATCAACCATTCCACATAAAAATCAATAACATAACTCAAGGACAACTTTTGTCCTTTAAAGCTTCCACCTTTGTTCTTTAAATTTTACAGTTGGTTTCCTTAAACCCTAAAAATTTCCTCTTCACTCATTCCTACATAATTTTTCATGTAGATTCCAAATATCTACTTGGATTCAACAAAATAAAATTCCTTCTTTCAGTTTTGAACTGACCGAACCATTAGGGTTCAAAATCCAAAAATTGCAACTTTGGTTTTAATGCTTCCAACACTTGCTCTTTAAGTTTATCCTACACCATTTTCCATTTTAAACATAATGGAAGCCTCAAAACTTTGAAAAACAATTCCTAAGGTTTTGTTTTGAAAGTGGTCGAAAGGTCCTTTTAACAAACCCACCATGAAAAACTTCCAACAACATCTTAGACCACTTGAAAACATCATGATTTAAGGTGTTCTAACAAGATTTGCCAATAAAACTTCCTCCTCTACAATATATATGTTTTGGCCAGCATCAAAAGAGAAGAGAAACTATGATTTTCAATCATACAACTTAAGTAAACAAGCAAGAAATCATCTTAGAACAACTTACGAAGCTTGAATCTTAGTTGGAAGATCAAAGTAGCTTGCTTTTCTCTTGATTTCCCTTCAAGCTCACTCTTTTCTCTCTTGATCTCTCCTTGGCCAAATGATGATCTGATTTAGGAGGAGGAAGAGCTCAATTAATGCACCAAAATATCCCAACCACCATCATAAATGAGTTGCCAAGTGTCACCTTCTTACTTAGTCTTGAAATTTCTCTCTTAATTAAGTAAATCATAATGTACTCTTCCGGTCCTTAATATAGGACCCAATTCTTGAGTTGGTTTTAGTCCTAAATATAAGACCCATTTCTCATATTTATCAATTTTCTCTAAATTACCCTATGAATACTCCCTCAAACTATAATCAAGTAGAGAGGAAGATAGGGTATTAAGAAAGATGATTAGGTGTGTTAGGAAAAATGTGTCACTTTTCTTATAATTAACTAATTTACTAACTTCCTAATCTAATCAAATAGTTAAAATGGGATTAATATTAGGACCGGAGGAGTAATTAAATCCAAAGTCCAGATCCTCTCCACTTAATGTTAACACTTGGAAAGCTTTTATTACATCCATTAGGGGCTTGATAAGTGGCAACTTGTGGGCCAAGTAAAGTGTAAGACTCTAGTCTTCACTTTCGGTGCCCTTTACTCCGAGTTTGATTTCTTCTTTTCTATAATACATACGCTGGCTTCTGTAATTAGTTTTTGTCAGATCTATAATTATTTTTCTCATTTTTATCTTCCAAAATTGCCCTCTTTTTCTCAAACATAATGTACTCCTCCGGTCCTTAATATAGGACCCAATTCTTGAGTTGTTGGTTTTAGTCCTAAATATAAGACCCATTTCTCATATTTATCAATTTTCTCTAAATTACCCCTATGAATACTCCCTCAACTATAATCAAGTAGAAGAGGAAGATAGGGTATTAAGAA